GAAATGAATTTGATCGCCCAGATTGTTCATGGACAAGAAGTATTATTTTAAAATTTCGGCCTATATTGGCTGGTTCCGCTTCTTCCCAAATTTTGAAATATCCACAAGTGTGTGAGAGCTAAATTTAGATTTTAAAAGTTGCGCATAGACAGATTCTCCTAAAATTTCCAGCTATCCTGTCTGATTCTCGATTCAGAAAATTTTCTGCCTAAATTTTCATGTGTCCATGCGCAAGAGAGGTATATGTATGAGCCAATTTTAAATTTCTGGTGTGGTACAGGGACATGAAGTGCTCTCCTGAAATTTTAACTTCCTGTACTACTTGGCACCAAAATTGGAAAACTTACCGCCTAGACTTTCAACGTTCCTATACGCAAGACTTAGGAATGCGTAAAAATTGAATTCGAATTTGCAAGGTTGCACAGTGAAAGGAGTGCGCTTTACGTTTAGAAGAGTGCTGTCTAGAATTTCAGCCTTTTGGCCCCCAGCTGCTGAGATGGAAAATCCTGGCAAAACGCCAAATAAATACAAGCAAAAGAAGTCCCGACAATATGTACTGCTGCTGCTACTGCATAAAAATGCAACGCAGTGCTGCCCACGAACAAAATCTTTCTCAAAAACGACATACAAAAACAAGCCAAACAGGTACTATAAAAAGAAATCCCCTTGAAATTGAGCGATTTTAATCACTCAAATACAAAAATAAATCATAAAAAAAAACCTTGTCATGTTGTCCAACGCAATACGTGTGATAACTCTGCGCACACGTTACGCACGTAACCATCGTCCCTTCAACTCCTTGTCCGATGCTGCCACATATCAAACACACCGGCATGCGCAAGAAATACAAATCTTCTGCGCACGTTACAACCACTGTCCTGATGTAATCATTTTCTTCGATACGATGCCGAGTATCATCCGTTTCCGAGCTTTCTTGATCTCCATCCCGACTTGCCGCTGCAGCATTCACCATTGCCAACATCGCTGATGTTTTACCACCCCTGCAAAAAGAAGCTGTACAAATTGCTTATCTCAAAAATACGGATTGCAAATCAGTCCCACCACCGTCCACCGCCCAAAAAAGTCAGTGAATTCGTTGTAGATAATCTCAAAAAATTTTTTACATCAACCAAAAAATTCTACACTTAGCGACCTAAATTTGTGCAACAAGTCTGTCAGCTATATGAAGAAATATGACCGTACAAAATTACAGACTTTTATGGAATATCGAAATAAAAAATATC